CGGTCACTCTGGTTATGCTGCAGATATCCTCATTCCTAAGTTTAAACCCCTGAGCATAGCCCTCTTCATAGCTCGCTCAGCAACTTCGAGCTTCCTCATATGGCCAGCAGTGAAAGACCTCGTCTCAGATCCATAGTTCATAACTGGCAACACGCACTGGTTGTACAATCTAATTTTGAGGTATTCCTGATGAGAAAATGTGTTGCAATCTGCCGAACGCTGCCTAGCCGAGTTGAATCCGTCGATTGACCTGTCGGTCGAAGTTGAACTTACCTAGTCAGACTATTTGTCCCATCGTCAACAACTTCAGCTAAGTGCTCCCAAAAACTACCGGCATAGGTGTGACATGGACATTACACATGACGTTTGTTTTGTCCATGTTCATCTTAAGACCTTCTCAGTTGGGAGACACTATTGAGGTAATTGAACATAGTGCATAGGTCTTCCAGTGATTCTGCTATAAAGACTATATTGTCGGCAAATCAAAGGTGAGTGACGTACACGCCATTGACGTTAATACCGTATCCTTTCCAGTCCAGTAGCTTGAAAACGTCTTCCAATGCAGCAGTAAAGTATTTCGGAGATATTACGTCACACACACGTTACACGTTACGTTACACATCTCTACAGTTGAATTAGTTTTGTACTCTGGTTCTGTACTCGGATAGCCATTGTAGCCCTTAGACCATTCAACAAAAAAATTATTAAGATTAAACTAACTACACAAAAGAAAAATAAAAACATAATTTCTAAAATAATTTACTGTCAACAGTTCAATTAGTTCTAGTATTATAAAAACAAATCAGCTGCTATAATAACGCCTATTCTAATCAACTAAAGGTCAGTCTATAGACAGTAAAATATTTTCTACTATATAAAAAATTATGTTTGTTCGTACTTTCTACGATGCCATACCGTTCATCAGACTGCGGTAAAACTTAGTCATTTTATTGGTTGCACTTGTGCGAAGGTTACACGCATGGTACAATTAATTGACAGTAGGTGGCGTGCGTATTATAACTGACTATTTATTTGAAAGTTATAGTTATATATCATTCTATTTCAATGATTGTATTATCCTTCCTAATTATACAATATAACTGCTCCACATTTTTAACGATATTTCCACAATTATTTCTTCTGCGGTACGAGCTAGCAAGATAATGTAAAGAATATAAACTTTGAATTACATAGTTATCAGTTATTTACAACGTCATTTTCGAAATTAAAATTACAATATTAAAAAAAATAAAAAATAACTGAAATTATCATACAGTCCTACTTTCCGTGGTATCGTCCCAAGACTGCTGGCTACGTGTCCTCTCTAAATGGCTATACTTAGCCTTCAAGCGAGGAAACAACAAACTAAACAACTTCTTATTACCAGCAGCGATGATCAGTCGCAGATACAGTTTTTAGGAACTACACCGCACGTGCAACCTACGGACCAATAGTCTCTATAGCAAATTGCACAAATATGTACTCATCTTCTAGATACTCTGGGCTATTTACTTAGTTCAGTTGCCTCTAATGCCACCTCTGCTTTAGACGAGGTACCCCTGAGATGGGATGCTGTCAGTGTTCGCAAGTAGTATCGCACACTAAAACTTTATCTCTCTCTCTCTCTCTCAAGCAACCAAACCCATACTGTCGAGTCTCCTGGTATCGTCTCTAAATATTCTACAAAGATCTTAAATCGACGCAACACTCCCTACCCTTACGACTCCACTGCGACTACAGCGGTACAGGGAAAGGAATCTCCTCTAGCCACAGCCCACTAACACACATCCAACGTGGCTCGACATCATCAGGCAACCTTTCGACACTTGGATATGGCCCTTGAGTTTGGTGGAAAATGAGGAAAGAAAGAAAAAACATTCGAAATAATAATCTAATACTTTTATACTTACTGGTACTGGTACTACCAGAAAAAATTGTCGGTATACTGCACTTTTTCAAAGCGGTGTAGTTCTCATGTCTAATAAAACAGTCGTCTGTGAAATGTTTGCAACAAATATGATCATTTTGTTTCGGACGCCAATTCACAATATGTATATTTATGCTTTTAAGTCATAATTTTAGTCTAGGTTCAGTTGGAAACCTGTTAATTAATAAACATTTGATAATTATCTGTTGTTGGTGATTTTGTTTGTTAACAGATATGGGTAGGAAAGAACATCAACAAGTATTATAGACAAGGAACTCGACAACCCTATTGAATTTTATTGTTTATCAAAACTCAGTAATATACAGCCAAACTCAGTAATATACAGGTTTATATGATATTAAGATTAGTAACAAAATTTTAAGTACTTATATTATCAAATAGTTTTAATTTGTTTAATATTTGCTGCAAATTCACTTGTGAAATGTTATACCACTTCCCTTTTGGTTACGAGTTTTACAGATTACGCACACTCTCATTATTAATAAAAATAATTTTTATTATGTAACTAATATTATACACAATCAAACAACATAAAATACTTTCGTTTTTTAGTTTAAAAGTTCAAAATACAGACTTATTAAATAAGACAATATAAATAAGACAACAGACTTTGGCATATTATGTCAATTTTATTTTTCAAGATATCCTTTAGCGGCGCTTCAAATTGGCACAGTCATTTTGTATGGTATAGCCAGTCCAGCGTACTTGTATATATAGAGGTCAGTGATTGCACTACATTATCCCTCTAAACCATTCCAAATAGACACCTTAGGAATCTTGAAATTATAGGCAGCCAGTACGTCTTCTATGCTTTCAAACCTCTTGCCTTTTAAATTTTCTTTGATACCTAGGAACCGTATAGTGGCGGTGTAAGAATATCCATTACAGATAATATTATGTATTATCTACTATAGGCGACAAAAGGAAACTTAAAACAAGAGATGGCAGCACCACACGTTTTGATAACATGTCAAAATCATAAAAAAGCTGCAGTTGCCAACACGTCTACCGAGCATGGCAACTATGGTAAAGTCTATGAAGCAATCATTGTGGAAGGCCTATGTTCATCAGTGGCTTTTATGGGATAGGATGACTTGGAGACAGTGTTTTTACCTGTGGGTAATGAGGCGCAAGGTGCGTCAGTTGATTATGGCGAGTGATGTAGGACAGACTCATTTTTAGGACAAGAAGTATCACCCTTAACCTATAAAGAACACTGTCCTGTACCATTTGGAATTAACAATTAGTTGATCCTCTTGGACCACAGTAGTAATATGTATTTGAAAGGTAAAGGCAAACTACAAATTAACTAAAAATACTAAGATAATTTCCACATGACAGCTTCTAATGGCGAGACCTTAATTGTTCTATATACCTAATATGTCTTACTTAGTACTGACTTTACTTGTTCTATATACTTACTATGTCTTACTTAGTACCGACTTCTGAAGGTGTTATATAGAAATTATTATAGTCTTTTTATTTGAAGTATGCTTTCTTTGACTCCTTTTGGTGCTAATAAATATCACAAGCTTAAGGTAACGTTGGTATTCTGTGAGAAGTATCTAGTTTTTCGTTCTACAAATGTAGTAAAAGTCAGTTTTGAGCAAGACATAATATTTTTATTTTTTTATTTATTTATACAGAACAGTTTCTAACGTTCCTGTATGTTCGGAAGGCGAATTTAGTCGATTCGCCGGTTGGCTCGCGACATAAAATGGCGGCAAATGCAAATTTTTTGCTAACTTGCAAATTTTGCTATATTTTCACTTTGAGACAATATTTATGGATAAAACTTACAGAGATTCTTATTGAATGTATAAACTATCGAATAAAATTATTTTTAGGTGCTAGAAATTGTAATAAAATTCATAAATTACCCTTTATAACATAGTAGTAATAGATACTTCACTTTTAGTCTAAAATTACTACTAATTTGAATTCTACATGTTTGTTTTTGGAGAAATCTATATGAAAATGTTTGGAAATATGTATATTTTTATGTTTTATGTGTTTCTATTCGTTACTCATACCAAAATATAAAAATAAAAAAATAAATAAACGAAATTAATTTTTATCTGTATGAGAATTGCGAATATTTTTATATATATATATATATATATATTTTTGTGTGAATTTGAAATAAGTACAACGTCAAGTTATTTACAATATGTTATAGAACTATTTTTTAGTTACATTTTACACTAAAAGTTTATGAGAATTGTAAAAATAACACATTTTTGACCCAACCGCTAAAATGGGCCTTCCCGATTTCGAAGTATATTTGGAACTTACTTTTCACTTTTTATGCCACAAATTATATATCTACGTGTTTGTTTTATTACAAGGAATACACAAAAGTATAAAACTCACCTTTTTATTCCAAAAACACAGAGAAAAACGGAGAAATCACTCAGAAATAACTCACGCACTACCACGCACTACTGTCGTAAAAAGCCATTACGTCAGAATGATTTTTATGTCTATTTTTAGAATTGAAATTGACAGATTATGGTACCAAATTAAAGAGTATGTCTTTGTCTATGTCTGTATTATACATTTCAGTATAAATTTGTTATAATTTTTAATGACAAACCTTTTTTTGTCGGGTTCGCCCTCATAAATTATGAGTGGTACTAATGTGTATCCTTGTCGAGCGGGCGGAGGGCGTTGCGTTAGGCACATTTGTACCACTGTCGAGCGTACAGGATTGATGAAATATAACCGCTTCGTTTGCAGTTAAATATATCGATATGGTTATAACGCTCATTATGTGTCTTGTAAGCACAGACCAGAAACTGAGTTTTCGAACACTTAATTCTGCAAAAAGGTTGGAGAAAACTGCGAAAAGTGACGACCCCAACGCCGCTGATGTAACAGTTATGTGACAAAACTGCTACATCGGTGCAGTCAGTCAGCGCCCTGTCAAGAGATGTGAGCGCCGTGCCTAGGCAAAATTGTGGGTGCTAAGGTCCGTTTGTGCATATGACCGAACAACGCAACGGTGCCGGGCTTGGGTGTCTCCCGTTATTTGGCGCCCATAAAATGGATGATGGCACAAAGAGGAACGCGCATAGGGCCGCTGCCTGGGGGTCGACGGGGCGCGTCTGGAGCTGGCGCTGGACGCGACAGCATGCGGGCCGCCAGCCGAGCGCAAGGAGCTACACGATCACCTAGTAGCCCCCCGCATCCATCATCCCCACCAGAAGGCTTGGTGTCGGCTGGGTCTTCTCGGACTCAGCAAGCGGCACCCGCCGCTGGTGCCACAAAAGCTATGAACGAAAACGCATTGCGAGCGTACTATAGGGCGAAAGGGGAAGAAACTGTGGGGATAGCGTATAGGGCTCGGATGCATTGCTTTTTTGCTGAGCTGGAGCTGTCTATTCCCGTCACGGAACATAACCTGGCAGACCGAGATCGGTACATTATGCGCTCGAAATATTTGATGATGCCGAACTCGAGCGACTACAACGTGAGGCTATTACCTCATCCAATGAATCGGCTATGGCTGGGGATGCGGCTCCACAGGCGACAGACCAGCATCCACACGTGGAAGACGCCATGGATCTTCCAGTTGTAGTTTATTCGGACGGGGATGAAATAGTCTCCCACGAACTAGAGCACACGAGGAGCATATTGGAAGTGGCGATTTTGGAAACGCGCAGCATGCCTCTCGAAAATCGACCGCGACTTCCCCGCATACCCCTAAGCAAGCGAAATCGGGCTGTCGTGAGGGCTCTTAACCCAATGCTGGTTACCTATTTGGAAGCCAGCCGGGACCTTTGCGAGGCGGACTTAATTCTTTTTGGCGCCGCAGTGGTAGTTTGCCGTATTATTGACGCCAAATTTCTCATGGCTGGACGCGCTACTAGACAAAGTAGCGCCATCCCAGCCTGGAGAAAAAGAATCGAGGACCGTATCGCAAAGGCAAGGGCCCTTATCGGCAAACTGACAAGCTTCAGGTCAGGTAATAATAGACCGAGGGTTGTGCGCACCGTTAGAATGGCTTTGCTGGGACAAATGTCAGTTTGTCCCAGCCGGATATCACGCAGAAACTAACGGAGCGCATAGATGACTTGAAGCAAAAAATCGCTGCTTGCGGGAGGTGGATTCGACGATTTACCGAGAGGTCAAGGCGGTTCAACCAGAATCGTCTGTTCCTGAATTATCAGAAGAGGCCCTATAAATCATTGGAGCGACCGGAGGTATATGGAGCGGGCTCATAACCGGATCAGGCTGACATTATCGCATTCTGGCGTGGCCTGCGGTCAGAGCGCGTAAACCACAGCGAGGGCCTTTGGATGGAAGTTGTGGCGAGCCAGGGTGCGAGTATTACGCCTATGGACCCCATCACCATAACGCCGGAAGACGTGGCTGAGGCGGTCCGTAGGTCCCCAAACTGGAAAAGTCCGGGGCTCGACGAGCTGCATCATTCCTGGCTGAAGGGGTTCGAAGTGTGTCACACTGTGCTCGCCCGACAGTTTCAAGAGGCTCTCGACCAGAAGTCGCTTCCGAGCCTCTTCACTACTGGGATCACTCACTTGGTTCCTAAAGATCAGGATACCACAGACCCGAGCAAATACCGCCCCATCACGTGTCTACCCACCATATATAAGACACTGACATCCATTTTGAGCGCGAGAATCACTCGTCACCTGGAGCGAAATCGGGTGATGTCACGCGCTCAAAATGGGTGTCGGGGTGGTGGTCGTGGAACCAAGGAACCACTCCTCATTGACGCGGTTATTGGCAAAATGGTGAAACGCAACCGTCGAAAATTCTCCGTCGCCTGGATAGACTACAGAAAGGCGTTCGACTCGGTGCCCCATACATGGCTAAAGAGCTCGAGCTGTACAAGATTGACTGTATAGCTAGAGACTTCTTCGAGCAGTGTATGGGGCAGTGGAGTACGATCCTTTGTCATCTGGGTGAGCGGATGACGGCTGCGGAAAGCCGCATAAGGATAAGAAGGGGTATCTTCCAGGGAGAGGGAGAAAGAGAGGCAGAACCAGATTGGACTCAGACAGAGTCCAATCTGGTTCTGCCTCTCTTTGAACCCTCTTAGTACTTTACTGGAGGGCTCCTGGAGGGGATTTCAGCTTCTGAAAGGAGGTACAAAGTGACCCACCTTTTCTATATGAATGACCTCAAGTTATTCGCCTCTGGAGCGACTGGTCGCTCCCATCTTATGGAATTGATAAACATCACTTGTGAATTTAGCAATTCTATTGGATTGGAGCTGGGGATGGATAAGTGTGCGGTCCTCCATATTGAAAGGGGAAGGGTTGCCAACTCTTAGGGCATAGACTTATCTATGCCCGTCAACTTAAAGACCCTTTCCGAGGCTGAAACATACCGATATCTGGGTATGTCACAGAACATCGGTATCGATGAGGCTGGTATGAAACAGTCAGTTTGCGACGTGTTTTATGCACGCTTGACCAAAGTGCTTAACAGCCTTTTGTCCGGTGTGAATAAGACACACACATATAACGGTTGGGTCATGCCTGTCCTCATGTATACCTTTGGCATACTCAGGTGGACTCAGACTCAACTTAAAGCCCTGTATAGAAAAGTCCGCACTACCATGACGTCCCATACGATGCATCATCCGAGATCATTGGTAATGAGGCTGTACATGCCGCGAAAGCATGGTAGGCGTAGCTTCCTGAGCGCGCTCACCATGCATAATCGCGAAGTGTGCAGCCTCCGTCATTACTTCCTGGCGAGATCGGATGATCCATTCAATAATGACGTCATTTCTAGTGATAAAGGGCTTACCCCTCTATCATTAGCAAACGAGCAAAGGCAGGACTCGGCAGTACAAAGCATTTCTGACTGGGAGACCGTATGGAAGGAGAAGGAGCTCCAAGGGAGGTACTACAGGGCTACACATGAGCCCTTCGTAGGTACAGTCGCCTCCCTCAACTGGCTATGTTTCGGTGACCTCTTCGGGGAAACCGAGGGTTTTGTCTGTGCGATACAGGATCAGGTTATTAAGACCAACAACTATCGAAGATACATCCTAAAGGATGGCACCGTCGACGTCTGTCGAGCTTGTCGCCATCCCGGTGAGTCACTTAGGCATGTCATCTCCGGTTATTCGGCGCTTTTTAACTCTGAGTACTTACACAGGCACAACCTAGTAGCCAGAATTCTACACCAGGAGTTCACTCTGAAATACGGTCTCGTGAACCGGAAATTGCCGTATTACAAGTATACGTGGTAGAACCATGCTGCAATTATATTAGTAGTATAGTTGTAGAACTAATGGGTTGGCTCGACCGGGGAAGGACCACGCTCTCACAGAATACCACCGTGACACAGTAGCTTAATGCTGCTGTGTTTCGTATGGTGAGTGTAGAGAACCGGAGACCCTTTTTACTGGAAAGAAGGTATTCCTTACGGGTGACAACACATCTGCATTTTGATTCGTAATCGAGGATAGATGTAGATGTCTATGGGCTACAGCAACCACTTACCATCACGTGGACTGTGTGCTCGTTTGTCACCCTATCCTATAAAAAAAAACTTGCCGGAAGCCGTGCTCGAAAATGATCGCACCAGCCTCTACTGGGACCGTGCTATCATCACAGACAGGACTATCAGAATCAGAATCAGAATCAGAATTTTTATTTGCGTAAGAACATGGTATATAAAGGTGGTACATGTTAAAAAGGTGCACATGTCTCGCTATTACAAATAGCATGCAAAATTAATATTATTATCTTGTATAATCATAAAAATAATATCACAAAGTCTCATTACAATAAATTACATTGAATTAAAGATAAATTAAAATATATAATATAACATGAATAGTATTAGGGATTGATGTCAATAAAGTCTTTAATGTCATATATTTTTCTGTCAATGAGCCACTTAAATAATTTTGATTTAATTTGATTAATATTTAAATTTTTGATGTCATTAGGAATTATATTATATATCGTTAAACACATTTTTAGGCAACTTTTATGGTATTTAGCTGACCTTGGGATAACGTTTAGACGTTAGTTGTGTTAGCACAAGTCTATTAGGATTTCGCTTCAATCTTGTGTTCATGTCACTTGCTTTCATAAACAAATTGATATTTCTCTTCACGAAACAGCTTATTTCAAAAATATATAGTGCCGGCAGCGGAAGTATGTTGAGATTTGCAAAAACTGTTCTACAGGATATGCCAGGCGGTATTCCAGAGATAGCTCTAATACACTTTTTTTGAGCTATAAACGCCCTTTGTATATTTGTGCTATTTCCCCACATTATTATCCCGTAGCGCAAAATGGAAGCTATATACGCGTGGTATGTAATAAGAGCCGTTTGTAAGTTTGTCACTTTTCTCATTTTGTTAAGGGCATATACAAAACTATTAATACGATTACACAAAGACTCTATATGTAATTTCCAGTTTAGGTCCTGGTCTATGACTACTCCCAGAAACTTGGTAGACCTTATTTCCTTTAATTTATTAATATTTAGCTTAAAATTTAATTGTTTATGTTTGGATTGATTAAATTGGATAAAATGTGATTTGTTTAGATTTAGTTTTAAATTGTTTACGTTTAGCCATTTAATAACGTTGTCAATTGTTTTATTTATATCAGTTTCGTGGACTACTATTCTTGCGAATAAGTCTGATGTTGTGCTGATGGACCGGGCACAGTCACGGGTATTTTTGGTCGACATTACCATTCCGTATGACGAGAACCTCGTTAAAGCCGAAACAGATAAGCGAACAAAATATCTGGACCTCTCTCACGAGGCGAGCGACATGTGGGGTGGTCTGCAGGCCGAAATTATTCCTGTAGTCGTCTCTGCGAATGGGCTAATCCCTGTCAGCCTCTCGAGTCATCTGAGGCGACTGGGACTCCGTGACGGACCGCTCCGGGCTCAAATGCAGAAGGCAGTGCTCCTCGATACCACCCGCATCGTCCGCTAGTTTCTTTCCCTTTCCTCCTAACCCTCGGCCGTTTGGTCTCCCCTGTCGAGGGCTTCCATCTGGTTGGATATTTATTTATTTATGTATTTATTGTATTTATTTTATTGATAATGATGAGGCAAAAAGTAAAAGAAATGGCCCCGAGTTCCCGGCGCCCCTTTAATGGGGCAGGGGTGCGAAGAATCTCCGGGAGGAAAACCGGCGACGAGGTTCGCCACCCGTTCTGTCTCCCAGAGAGGCGAAAAGTGGATTGCAGAGGCCCGTCTGGCTACATTGAATGTATGTGGGGCAATGAATGATAAAATGGATGAAGTATGCGATATGATGTATGATAGAGGAATAGATGTTTATGTGTAAATGAGACGAAAAGGAAGGGGAAGGATGTCACTGCACATGGCATGTATACCGCATACTGGTCTGGTGTGGACGAGATCGAGCGGGCGTGCCAGGGAGTAGGTATCATCCTTTTAGAAAGAATGGGCCAATGTGTGAAAGAGTATGAATGTGTAAGCCCAAGACTGCTATGGATACGAATGAAAGTGGGCTTAAAGAAGTTGTTTGTGTTAGGGGTCTACGCCCCAGACATGTCTAAGCCCACTTATATCCGGGAGCAGTGTTGGGATATGGTAAGGATGGTG